AAATGACACGATATACTCTATTATATCATTTTAAAGACATTTCATCATCAGGTTTTCTCAGACGATGTTGTTCACAACAGCAGAACCAGTCTAAAGTTTGAGTACACGTGTTTCCTTGATACTTAACATTGTGTAAATGTTCTTAAATACAAATGATAATAAGGAACCAGTTTAACTTAAAAACTTCATTTCTGAATGAAATCTTCAGTGACGGATGCAATTCTGTGTATCCTAAAGCAACAGGATCTCGGTCTGAAACCCAAAACAGTAAATGTACATGTTTTTTTTTTTTTTAGGCTTTTATGAAGTTAAAGGCCACTCAGTAAAGGACCTAAGAATCACTCAAACTTCTGACTGGAGTTCAGCATACAAGCAGTGCCCTGCTTTAGTCACCTGAGCTTTGAGCACATAGAAATTGTGTTCTTTAAGGAGATCAGAATGGGGTCAGTCGATCCGATCCGCCACATCCTGTAAAATACACCACAGTGTAGCTTAATGCAGTTATCTCGCTGTGACATACACAAAATATTTATGTCAACCCAATTCAAAATAAATAGGTTACTTCAGTCAACATATACAGCTATATAACTGATTAAATTGTTGATGCATCATGCACGGAACATCATGTAATTAATAAATTCTATAAACTTTCTAACAAAATTCTGAAAAAAAATTAAGTCACCCCAGTCTCAAAGAAAAAAAACCTTTCTATGCGATGAATATCTACGTTCTGATATCATCTGTTTGAAGGCTCTTGTATGTCACGTTCTGCTCCAACGTAATTTAACCACGCCCACCTCTACCACTATGCTATTTGTATAAGATCAATATGTAATAAATAATTTTATCTCTTTTTAAAACATGTTGAGGAAAGCCTGCTTCTTGCGTAAAGAACCACATGCCTTGTAAGCGCGATTGTGTTTGCAGAGAAGGGAGAAGTTATGCTTATCTCACAAGCCCGGGAAGTCTAATCACACAAACTTTACCACAACTATGTTACACATCAGTTCATATGTGTGACGCATTGATATGCATCGTATGCCTGCTGATGTTCAACACATAGAAGGTGTTGCAAATACACTATATGGCTAAAAGTTTGTGTACACCTGACCATCACACCCATGTGCTTGTTGAACATCTCATTCCAGATTTATTCCCTCTTTGCTGTTATAATAAGCTCCACTCTTCTGGGAAGCTTTCCACTAGATGTTGGAGCGAGGCTGTGGGGATTTGTGTTCATTCAGCTACAAGAGCATTAGTGAGATCAGGCGCTGATGTTGGTGAGGAGGTCTGGGGTGCAGTCGGTGTTCCAGTTCATCCCAAAGGTGTTCAGTGGGGTTGAGGTCAGGGCTCTGTGCAGGACACTCGAGTTCTTCCACTGCAACCTTCACACACTATGTCTTCATGGAGCTCACTTTGTGCACAGGGGCGTCGTCATGCTGCAACAGGTTTGAGCCTCTTAGTGTCAGTGAAGGGAAACTGTAATGATACAGCACACAGAGACGTTCTGTACAATTGTGTGCTTCCAGCTTTGTAGCAACAGTTTGGAGAGGAACGACATGTGCGTGTGATGGTCAGGGGTGCACTTACTTTTGGCCATATGGTGTAAGTTGCATGTGAATTTTTTTTTTTTCTGTGAGAGTGCGTATGTGAACTATGTACCAGACTCACCAAATTTATTGTTGTAAGCTGCGTTAGCCAGCTTGGTATTTGTACGTGTCACACTCATGTCCTCCTCCTCCTCCTCTTTTTTTAAAAATTATTTTTATTATTATTATTTTCTTATTTATGCCTTTCGATCCCTGTAGTAGCCTGACATTTTAATCTTGGACCTCTTATCTGTTTTTTTGACTAAAACTGTGGTGCCATATTTCTCTCAAATATACGTATTTGCATATATCCATATACACATGTATTTATTATTTATTCACCTCTCACCCTTACTCTCTGTGCACTTTCTCAGCTGCTGTGTTACGTTTTTGCGGATTTTGCTCAACATATTCTCATTGGTTCATGACTTTTCGGACACCGTTGTACAACTACTTACTCTAGGCTCTGCAGGTTGCTGAGGGATGGTAACGTCTTACTCAGCACTCGAGCCATCGCCTCGTCCACCCTCCATCCTAGACAGTAACACAGATCACAGCAGTTGCTTTTGTAGGGTTCTCCTTACAAAATGGGTGCTGAATCGCAATACCACCTGCAGGATACTTCCTTTAAAGACTGATGATACAGTTGTTTGTTTTTTTATCAGGACTAGGCATTAAAAGACGGTCTGATATAGATGATTTGGCTTAATCCAATATATAGAAATAATGAACTGACAGAACATTCCAAAAAAGTTCTTTAAATAGTTTTAGTAAATAGATTAATTAGTATATAGAGCAGAGTTCAGGTGTTGAGCTAGCACATCACTATAAACATTACATAAACGAAGCATTAATTCTTGAATGTACTATAATACAATGCTTGTGAACAGTCCTGTAACTATTATTTTACAATGCTGTATTTACAGAGTTTGGTGTAATTGCATATTATTAACTGCCTTACCAGATATTCGAACTCTTTTTACGCTCCGTGAGTCCTCGTTCTCCAGTTCTATGTGAAGGCAGGGTTTAGGAGACCAGGCTGCCATACAGCTTTCAGAGAAAATCTCTTCTTGGCTACTCTCTAAACAGGGATACATGGGTTGTCATTTCAACACACAGTTTGTACATGCTGTAACGCTGAAAATATGCTAGGCATTTTTTTTATTACAACAACGTTAGGTTATAAACCAATCGGCTTTCTGTCCTGATCTACCACATGAAGAGGAGATGAGGAGAAATAAGTATTCAGACAATTTTGTTTTTCATTATTTAATATACTTCCAGTGTATATATCCACTTCAAATGTGCACACATGATGTCTCTGGACATCTTGTAAATATGAAAAAAAAAAAATTATTCATAAGAATAAAAAAAAAGATATGTTTAAAAAACAAAATTGGGCAAAAAACATATTTGGACACCACATTTTACCAACGTTAGTATTGTGTTGCAAAGCTGTCACTGGCAGTTACAGTTTCGAGACATCTAAGGTGAGAAGTAATTCGCTTTTTTGCAGTATTGTGATCCTATTTTGGCCCATTCCTCTTGTCAAATCGTCTTAAATTCCTCAAATTTATGAGGGTTCCCTCTGATGAACCCGGAATTTAAAAATCCTCCATCAATTTTCAATGGGATTTGAGTCAGGAGATTGGCTAAGCCAAGCAAGGTCTTCTTGAGTTATTTCGGCTGTGTGTTTGGGGTCATTGTCCTGTTGAAATGTTCATCTTTTCCCCCGGATTCAGTTTCTTGGCCAATGAGATTCAATTCTCCTCTAATGTGTCCCGGGACATCACTCTATTCATGTTTCCTTCGATGGTGTGTAATGTCCCAGTGCCGTTTGCAGAGAAGCAGAAACATATCATGATGCTCCCACCACCGTGCTTCACTGTGGGTATGGTGTTCTTGGGATCATACTCGTAACCCTTCTTTCTCCAAACGAGACAAGATGAATTATTGCCAAAGGGTTTTAATTTTGTTTCTTCTCACCGGAGTATATTGAGTTCTGAGTTGTCTAAATGCTTTTAGATGTGCAGAGGAGGTTTGCGTGAGGTGTAGGAATGGAGATGATTGTGGTGCAGTTCATTGCTTATTGTTCTCGGTGTAACTGTTGTTCCTGACGCTTTCAGGTCGTCCTGCAACTCCTTCTGAGAGACTGCTATCTTCTCTCTTACCTTCCTTATCATTAGTCTAAGAGTGCAATGTGAAATCTTGTGTGGTTCACCTGTCCAAAGATGATTAGTTGTGGTTTTCATGAACTTTCCACCTGCATATTATCGGACTAGCTGTATGATGGGGATATTGAAGGTCTTCGCTATGTCTTTGTAGCTTTTTCCATTTGAGCGTTGTTTAATAATGCTCTCTCTGAGCTTTATTTTTTGCAGAATTTATATCTAGAATGTAATTTATTTTTATGTAACCTTGTATATACATGTATATATTTTTAATATAGTGACTGAATATTTTTTCCCAATTAATTTTGTTTTTTAAACAAATCTTTTTTATGCTTAAGAATATATACATTTTTGTTCATATTTACAAGAACAAAGCCAAAAGACATTATGTGTGTAATTTTAAAGTGGATATATGAACTAAAAATGTATTAAATAACAGAAACGAAAGTGTCCTCACACTAATGATAGAGAAAATACTAAAAAAAAAAAACTGTTACTGTAAAAATGAGTTAAAATAAGACATGGGTAATTCAAGTGAAATTTCTGAAGGATGTGTTACATAAGATTCCTTTCTTGCAAACGTCTGACTGAATGGAGACCACAGTTACGTTTAATGTGTAATCATTTATTATTAGTTTATGGCTACAGATAAGACAATTCAGAGTGTTTCATAGTGACGCTTCATGTTACTTCTGAATAGTGTCACAGAATAAACACGTACTTCTTCATGCACTAGGCTTTAAACATTCTGGGTTTTTTTTTAAACAAGCAATGTCACCCGTTCAGTAATCAGACCAGACAGGGGAAATAAAATGAAAATCTATGAAAGTTTGTCTCTCGCCCTTTAGCTAGTCTCTGGACCAATGAGCTACATTCAGTTAAATAACGAGGATAATAGGATCTGCTACAGAAGATGCTCTGGTTCATGTTTAGAAAACTAGACTTGCTGAACTACAGGCAGGTTTTGCTTATATTTATCAGCTACGGTATTTTTTTTCATGTATTCGGTTCAGTCAGCTTGAATACTTTGCTGGGTCTTTGACAGTTGACGACCCCTGACATAAGGAAATCTCGGCTGCTCCCGTTAGGGGTCACCACAGCGGATCGCTGCTCTATGTATTTGCTTTGGCACGGTTTTACGCCGGATGCCCTTCCTGATGCAACCCTCCCCGATTTTATCCAGGCTTGGGACCAGCACCGAGAGGACACTGTTGCACGTAACACCAGTGGCTGGGGTTGGTTTCCTGGCCAGGAATCGAACCCTTGTCAGCGGCGAGAGCGCTGTGGCCTAACCACTAGGCCTCCAGGGACCCATAAGGAAATCTACAGCAGGGTCCCAAAATTCTGAGACCACACTGAAAATCTGGGATTTTTTTTTTTTTTTTAAATCGGAAATAAACAAAAGGTTTTAGAATTTTGAATTATTCAAGATGCTGCACTATTTCTAGGTCCCTATTTAAATGTAAGCAAACGTGTGAACATTGAGCATGTTAACTGTTTTGTACACAAGGTCAGATTGTCCTCACGTCTAATCTCTTCAACTGAAGCGTGTGATCAGACGACACGCCGACGGATTTGATCTAAAATGGATCATAAGGTTTTTGCACAAACTTGTGGAGTCCGTGCCAGCTCGAGTGCACACTGTCACTGAAGCAAAAAGGGGACAAACCAAGTACTAATAAACTCTCAAATTCATGTAAATATTTCGAAGATTCTAGTTTTCACTCAAGTTGTTGTCAATAATATAATTTGAAATGAAAATTGTTGATTTAAATTAGAAAAGAATGCAGAATAGAAGCATTTTCACAAGCGCTCTCAGATTTTGGACCTCACCGTATGTACTTAAGTTCAGTGTAAGACAAAGTATCCGATTCATTCTTAAAGAGCTGCTTTAACTCTGTATAATTTTAAAATTGTAGCGTACACTGTGGATTCCTTAATAGCTGTGGGAACTAAATAGTTCACCAGCTAGGGGTGAGACCTTGGAATTAGATGGCTCTATAAGAGAATTTTAAGTTCTGACCCTCACTATGGTTAAAGTGGATACTAGTTTTCAACTCTATCCATATTTTCTATACTTTAAGCTACACTCACTGTCTACTTTATTAGGTATTTATTAGGTATTTATGTCGTTCTCTAATCAGCCAGTCATGCAGACACAGGTCAAGAGCTTCAGTTAGCGTTCACACCAAACATCAGAATGAAGAATTGTGATCTCTGTGATTTTAACAGTGGCATGGTTGTTGGTACCAGATGGGCTGGTTTGAGTATTTCAGAAACATCTCATGTGTGGAGGGTCTGCAGGCTGAAACACCTTGTTGATGAGAGAGATCAGAGGAGGATGACCAGACTGGTCTGAGCTGACAGGAAGTCTATAGTAACTCATATAATCACTCTTTACAACCGTGGTGAGCAGAAAAAGCATCTCAGAATGAACAACACATCAAACCTTGAGGTGGATGAGCTACAACAGCAGAAGACCACATCAGGTTCCACTCCTGTCGGCCAAGAACAGGAATCTGAGGTTTCACGGGCACAGACTCACCCAAACTGGACAAGACTGGAAAAAGACCAGGTGATTTTTTTTGCTAATCTTCACCTGTCCATTTTTGTAAGATTAATTATTTGAGTTATTATTTGAGTTATCCTTCCTGGCAGCTCTCTGTCCATTTTCCTCTGATCTCTTTTATCAACAAGGCGTTTCCACCCACAGAACTGTCGCTCACTCGATGTTTTTTTGTTTTTTGCACCATTCTGTGTGTCACGTAATGGAGGCAAAGGACGATGCAAGTGCAGATTGTAGTTTAATGTAGAAACAAACAACACAGACAACATAAACGTAACTTAGAAACGTAAAACGTAAACTAGGATATCAAGCCAGGGACATAACACGAGCAACGAAGAGCAAACGAAAAAAGACTTAAATACTAGTGTTCATGAGACTCGACATGTGAAACAGGTGCAAGCAGTCATGTGACGTGATTCGGGCATATCCCTGACACTGTGTAAACTCTAGAGACTGTTGTGTGTGAAAATCCAGGGAGTTTCTGAAAAACTCAGACCAGCCCACCTGATCCCAACTACCACGCCACGCTTAAAGTCACGCAGATCACACTTTTTCTTCATTCTGATTTTTGAGGTGAACGTTAAGCTCTTTACCTGTACCTGCATGATTTGTTTTGCTTTGTGCTGCATGAAAGTGCAGGTGTACAGGTGTTCCTAATAAAGTGGATGGTGAGTGTATAGCTTCTCACATGTATTCAGTGGCATATAAATCACACCGATAACATTAACTTACGTTTGCCAGACAGACAGAACGTTAGAGTTCCGGGGTCTTGTGGTGTTTATTTATTTGGCTATAGGTTATATAGGTTGTGAATGCGTTGTCTGTTCTCTCGTACCTACGCTGCTGTATAGAAACCAGAGCACCAGCCAGCTCTCTGTACCTGGTCCTTTGAGCTGTAATGTTTAAATAAAGAGTGTATCATGATCATGACAGCGAACACCTTCCTGCTTCCTGCGGCTCACTCATCATTCAGCGCAGAGAGCTGGAGATTAATCGTTTATACCCGTTGCTCTTTCTGTAGAAGGTGATGCTGATGTTAGTGGTCTCACATCAGGGATTTCCCTCAGGCCAACTACAGCACACAGCTCTGGGAAATCCACGTCCAGATTGCCTGAGCACTCGTACTCATCTGTGACCAGAAAGTAAAGTTTAATATAAGTTTAAAAGTGCTGCTGTTGGAGAAAGCCACTGGTCTTCCACTCACCTATGCTTTGGACCGGGCATTTGTCTTGTATATTCAGTCCTAAACGTTAGAGAGCAGAGTATAAAGAGCAGGCATCAGTTCCGCTTCACATACTTACAGCAAGACACTACAAGTAGAAACGACAACTTTGGTCAAAGAGGTTTTCAGATTTTTAGACAAATTTGCATCTATACCATGTCATATTGTAGTAATAAAGTAAAATATATTAAAAATCCACAGAAAAGTGTTCATTGTGCTGTTTTTGTCTACTCACGATCATCGCGTTCAAGAAAGATTAAGCTCCGCCCACTCTGAAAATATAAGCATCTGCTTCCTCATATATCATGTATGCCAATTTATTCGTCATGTGACATACGAATTTTCTTGAAGACGATTTTCTTTATAAAATATTCACACTAAAGTGGAAACACACGAAATCACGTTGTATTTTAAAATCGGTTTCCTCAAAACATTTATTTTCCATATCCAGAATAAAAAAGATTTCTAGATCTCACTTTCTAGATGAGCTTCATTTGTGAAAATGTACACGTTTATATTCCTGTTCCTGGTCAGAAGTATGTTACGGAGGAATTTCCCAAAATGTTGGATTTACATCGGATTGGATTTTTAACAATTTTTCTTCGTTAAACGATAAAGAAATGATTTTCCGAAAAACTGTCCAACAAAGTTTTTCTCTGAAGAGTGAAATAAACATTTGAATTCATACAACAATATCCAAAGACTACGGGAGATTTTTGGTTTTATTAAATATGCAAAAAGAAATACACACATTTAACGACGCCCCTGTGCACAAAGCGAGCTCCATGAAGACATGGTGTGTGAAGGTTGGAGTGGAAGAACTCGAGTGTCCTGCACAGAGCCCTGACCTCAACCCCACTGAACACCTTTGGGATGAACTGGAACACCGACTGCACCCCAGACCTCCTCACCAACATCAGCGCCTGATCTCACTAATGCTCTTGTAGCTGAATGA